CAGCCTGTCCTTACCACGTGCTCGGCGAAGCTCCACGGGTCATCCAACTTGAGCAGCTGTCTGAGATCCCTTCTCTTCAGGAACTTTACTGCAGAGAGCAGCGTTTCCCGAGAGGTCTGCAGGGCAGCAGAGAGCCAGAGATGGCACCGCGGCCCAGGGCACAGGAGCCGCATCTCTGTGCCGGGGCTGGGGGGAGGCTGGAGCCCGTCAGGTGCCAGGGGCTGGGCAGACAGCTGAGCCCCTCCCAAGGGGACACGCAGGAGGCCTCACCTGTGCCACACGCCGGTTCTCGTCGTAGCAATGGAAGAAGAGAGGAAGCAGGCTCTCGCTCACAAGAGGCTTCAGGGCCGGTTTTCCCCTTTCCACTACTGATTCCATCACATCTTTGTAGAGGCCAATGGAGAGCCACTGCACTTGATTGTTGTCCTGTTGGAAAGGAAAAAGCTCAGCACTGGATTCTCCAGGCCCCCCTGTGCACAGGCCCAACAGGCCACAGGGCACCCCCCTTGTGGGCAGCAGCTAGGGGCCATGGCTGGGGGCACAGAGCCTTACACTGTCAAAGAGGGGCCGGAGCGCGGCAGCCAGTTTGGGGGCTGTGGGGCAGGATGTTAGGATATCCTTGTTCACGAGTATATTTGTGAACACAGACAGACTCATCTTGACCACCTCTATGTCTTCATTCCTCAGGAAATCCATGAGGGGTTCAGACAGGCTGCACATTTTTTTGGCCTATGTGGAACACAAGGCTGTGCTGTGAATCCATTAAAAGCTTCACCACCAGCGCTGCTCCAGCAGCGCAACCCCACCCGCCTGCCATGGAGTCTATAGAGGCCAATGGCTGTCCCAAAGCAGGCAGCTGAACAGCAACCCTGGAGAGCTGGGAACAGCTGCCACAGCTGCCAAAGCCCAGCCAAGCCCAAGGGGCTGCTTGCCCCAGCCCCACGCTGCCAGCACAGCTTCAGCTGCTGCCTCCTTCTCACCATTGAGGGGTCTTTGCTGAGCATCACGAGGCCTCTGAGGGCCAGGCGTCGCATCTCCATGGACTCGCTCAGCAGGTGCTTGGTCAAGATCTCCAGGATGTTGTTACCCCATTCATTCAAATCCAGGCAATCCAGGACCTGAAAGGCACAGAGCAGGCACAGAGGTGCCCAGCTGGCAGGAGCTCAGAAGTGCACAGGGCCCAGCCCAGGCAGCAGCACAGGGCACGGGCAGCGTCCCAGGCAGCTGTGGCTCCGAGAGGGCAGAGGGCTGGGAGGCAGCTCAGCCAGGCAGCGCTGGCCGTGGCGCTCACCTCCACCAGGAACGCCAGGGAGGCCATTTCCCAGCTTGGCTCCTCCTGGCTGAGCCGGCAGAGCAGGCGGAGTGCGACGCAGGAGCAGAAAGGTTGGCAGACACGGCGCATCTCCCTGGAGGGGAGAAAAAGGCACTGGTGCTCCGGGGCCAGGTGGGCAAACCTGTCCCAGGGCCGACTCACAGAGCTCCGGTCTGCTCCCGAGCAGCCCGGGGGCGCTTTGGGAGGCGGCTGTTCCCGGGCCCCCTCCTGTGCCGGCCTTTTCCAGTCCGCTCATCCCTCCCTTGGGGACAAGGCCCTGCGCCCATGACCGCGGGGACTGCGCGGGGCCATGCGGGCACAAAGGAGAGGGGCGGTGGGCAGAACGAGGTCTCACCTGGCCAGCAGACCCATTGCATAGTGGTGGGTTTCAGCACGCAGCAGCGTGTCCCAGGCACACTTCCGTTCCAGAGCCATCAGTAAATTCACACATTGCAGGTGGTACAGGAACGACTTCACAGTGCTCACTACAAAGCTGTGTGCAGAGCAAAGCGCAGGTTATGCTGGGACCCCAGCCTGCAGCCCTGGGGACGTGGGAGTGACAGGAGGACTGGCACGGAGCACCTGTTGGGGTTGGCAGTAATGCCCTTTTCCTCCTGACATTTCTTCCAGAAAGTATTTACTTCTTCTGACATCTGCTCTGTACTGGCGTAAACTTGGTACAGCAGAGCCACAAGGAGATGGGGGGAATATTCCACAAATGGCTCTGGGCACCAGGGCAGGCGGAGAATCTCCCAAATCACCCTGGTTGCCTGCAAAGGATAAACCATCCAGAGACAGCACTCAACATGGAGTGGCAAGGCCTGAGCATACAAGGAAGAGGCCAGGGGAGACACAGGGGGAGCAGCCGGCCTGGTGCCCCTGAACCCTGCCCCCAAGGCAGGTGTCAGCCCAGTGCTTGAGGCAGGCAGATACGTTGCAGTGGGGGAGAGGATGGAGAGGCACTGGAGCAGCAACCTGCGTACAAGCAAAGGCCAGCTATGGAAACTCACAGCCAGGGCAAAGACATCCTTGTTGTCCCCATCAGCTGTGTACATTTTCTGCATGGGCCAGCCGTCCATCACACACAGCAGTGTGGGCAGCACCTTTTCCGTTGACGTTCCTGACGAGGCGATGGTCTTCCACATGATTGCAGCAGCTCTGCAGGACCAGAGCTGGGTGTCACGGGGGTCTCAGCCAGGGCACTGTGGCCTGGGCAGCCACAAGGGCCCAGATGGCAGAGCCACAGTGCCCTGAGGGGTAGGCAGGGAGCACGTCAGGAGGCTTGTGGGCTGACAAGCCAGCGCTGGGAAATGGAGGCTCCAGTGGCTCCTGCACCTCTCTGCCTGTCCAGCAGAGCCCGTTGCACTGGCTGTACCAGGCTAGGCCTGAGTCCCCAAGGAAGGTGGGCCCTGTACCTGTCACATGTTGGGGCACACCGCAGCAGGGTCACTGCCACATCAGTGGGCTGTTCCTCGGTCAGCCGCAGGATGTCCATGAACAGCCAGTCGTCTGGAGGCTCGTTGGACGCCAGCCTCTGGTGCATGTTCCTAACAAAGCCTGGCACCTGCACGAGGCACAGGGAGACTTGCAGAGCTGCCAGAGCAGCAACCTGCCCAGCTTCCCCTGAGAGTGCTTCCCTTGCCACCACACTGGGCCGGGCCTCAAAGGCTTGAGGCGCCACGGCACTGCTGGGGACACCCAGCCCTGGCCACGGGCTGCTTACTTGACTGGGAGTGGAGACAACTCTCTCCCCAAACTGATCCAGGCTGGGAGCAGGAGGTATGCTCTGAGGGGCTGTGGGGCCAGCCTCTGCTGCACCCTTGGTGAACATGCTGATCATCTCTCGACACCAAGTGAAGTTTGTGAGCTTCTGCAAAAGAAGGAACAGGGAAGAGAGGCCTGATCCATGCAGTGCTGCAGTGCTGATGCTCGGCTCAGAAGGAGGGGATGGCTCTCAGTACCTGGCTTACAGAGTGCCAGCAGCTACGGGCAGGATCCAGCCCTTGTGCCGGGTCCTTGGCTGCATCTGGCAAAGAGCAAGGAATGCCAGAGCTGAAGAGCTGCAGGAGAGGCCAGAGAGCACAGCCCAGCCCTGCAGTCTCCCCTGGCAGGGACAGCCCCAGGATGCCCCAGGCTACCAGGGGGTCCAGCCCCAGCCCCTCTTCTGCCCTATCCATGGGCATGTCCGCAGGGAAGGGACGGGATGGGGCAGGGTGGAGCTGGCTGCAGGCCAGCCCTGTGGCCCAGGCCAGCCCTGTGGCCCAGCTCTTTCACTCACTCTTCTGCAGCAGCTGCAGCTGCTCCAAGTCAGCACGTCGCTGGAGTGCAGCACCACAAGGGCAATTCTCCACCTTCTTGGGTGGGGTGGGAGGTCTCTCTGCCATGTCTATGTCGGGATTAAGGGCAAGTGGCAGGACAGAGGCCTTGGGAAAGCTGCAGGGCAGCGAGGGCTGCAGCTGTGCCTTGAAGAAAGCTACAATAGGGAAGGCTTAGAACAGCTGCAGGACACTAAGTCTTGCAGCCTGGCCTGAAGGCCTCCTGCCACAGTGACAAGAAACATTTTGTAAAGGCTCTGGTCAGCAAGTCTGACACACTGCCCTTCAGGGCACCTGCAGCGGAGAAACCTTGGGAAGGCTCTGGGTCACCGAGACCCCCAGTGTGGCCTCAAGGTGACCTCCACAGAGAACACCTGGAAAAGCNTACAGAGTGCCAGCAGCTACGGGCAGGATCCAGCCCTTGTGCCGGGTCCTTGGCTGCATCTGGCAAAGAGCAAGGAATGCCAGAGCTGAAGAGCTGCAGGAGAGGCCAGAGAGCACAGCCCAGCCCTGCAGTCTCCCCTGGCAGGGACAGCCCCAGGATGCCCCAGGCTACCAGGGGGTCCAGCCCCAGCCCCTCTTCTGCCCTATCCATGGGCATGTCCGCAGGGAAGGGACGGGATGGGGCAGGGTGGAGCTGGCTGCAGGCCAGCCCTGTGGCCCAGCTCTTTCACTCACTCTTCTGCAGCAGCTGCAGCTGCTCCAAGTCAGCACGTCGCTGGAGTGCAGCACCACAAGGGCAATTCTCCACCTTCTTGGGTGGGGTGGGAGGTCTCTCTGCCATGTCTATGTCGGGATTAAGGGCAAGTGGCAGGACAGAGGCCTTGGGAAAGCTGCAGGGCAGCGAGGGCTGCAGCTGTGCCTTGAAGAAAGCTACAATAGGGAAGGCTTAGAACAGCTGCAGGACACTAAGTCTTGCAGCCTGGCCTGAAGGCCTCCTGCCACAGTGACAAGAAACATTTTGTAAAGGCTCTGGTCAGCAAGTCTGACACACTGCCCTTCAGGGCACCTGCAGCGGAGAAACCTTGGGAAGGCTCTGGGTCACCGAGACCCCCAGTGTGGCCTCAAGGTGACCTCCACAGAGAACACCTGGAAAAGCAAGGAACAACGTGGCTGTGTGGGGATGTGGGGACTCCTCAGAGCACTGCTCTGTTCCACAGCGTGCACCGAGCACTGTGGCGTGGCCGTGGCCGTGGCGTCACCAGCACCTACAGCACGACGTGTCACAAAGGGTCACCCTTGCACACCCTGTCCTGTTCCATCCCACGGTGACCACAGTGCACTGTGTTACAGAGAGCCCCAGGACACACCTCCACGTGCCCTGGGGACACCCCCACCCCACTGCCTGCTCTGAACAGTCTTTATAAATATCAACTCCTGGAATATAAACTTATGGAATATAAACTTTTTCACTTATGCCTAACCAAAGATTAATGGCTGCAATTCACAAACAAAATGCACATATTTCATCAGCAAACAAATACACCATACTGAATGATAGAGCTACTCTGTCCCCTGCTCCCACTGCTGGTTTAATAATTCTCTTCTTCTTTTTACAGTTCTTTGTTGTATTAGTTGGTCACTGCAGGCCTCTCTTGCCCTGATCTCTTTTCCATGTAGATGAAACAATCTATTCTTCACTTGGTATGTTATTTCCCATTGTGTCCCCAGTGGCTCACCTGTGCTCCAGGTGTTGAAATCTGTCAGGTCTGGACCAGGCAGCCTCCCCTGCTGCTCTCAGTGCTGCGCTGGGCTCCGTCTCCAGCTGCACCTCGCCCTACAGCCCAATCCCCAATCACTTCGGGTTACTGTGCACATGGCCACTACACAATTCTAGAGGGCTTCTCTTACATATTGTCTGTGCAGCTCTGACTCTGCCTCTCAGAGCTCCATGCTGCTTTTGTTCCAGTGCTCATGGAGCAGCAACTTAGCAAAGCTCCTCCCGTACTTCTCGGGGGCCATGCCATTGCTGAGGCACCGGCTGCTGCTGCTGCTGTGGCCAGGCCATTTCCCACTTCCATCATGCCACTCCTGTGTCCTGCTGCACACCCTGCCCTTCAGGGGGAACCTGGCACCGTCCTGGGTCCCCTCTGGGCTGCGGCCATACCTTGGCAGGGGCCACAGGGCTTGCTCCAATGCACCAAATAAGCAAAGCGTACAGTGTCCGCTCCTCATATCCAGCACTCTTCTTCTTGGGGGTGGTGTCTCATATACTGTCCAGGTTTCTAGGCTCTCAGGTCTGCTTGGCTATGATTCATCTGGATTTTTAGGCTCTCTCTACAGTTCTCTACCTGAATCACCATGGGATCACGTCGGGCTCACCCACTGTTTTCATCTTATTGTGAAGCTCCCATACCTTCTGGGTGATTTCTCATGGACAGCCCCTCGCAGCACTGACTCCTTCACAGCACAGCCAACAAACTCCAAGTCTCTTCTCAGCACAAGCAACCAACTCCAACTCTCTTCTCATCCAGCTAACCCACTCTTGTAGCACTCTTCTTATTGGACACAGCTGTGGCCTATGGAGGGCAGGCCTGTTCCTAATCTCTGCTGATGAGTACAGCTACAGCTCCTCAAAAAATAAGGAATGAGTTAGACCTCAGGAACATAATTTATTTTAACTATTTTAAAAATCCTTGCTGGTCTACTAAAATCCCTGTGTTTTAGCATATATATGAATGTAGACATTTTAGTAAGGTTCTTTACAGTCCATGATGGGGCAAGTGTCTCGGGAAACCTTCAGTCTGGTACAAGAGGATAATTTGGATTAGTTTTATCACAAAGAGGAATTCAGCATGAACTACTGGGTGCTGTCAAAACTGCTGGCAGTTGATAACCAAATCCCATATAGTGTAATTGCCGGGTATTGTTTTGACCAAAGGTCCTTATAACCACTCTAATGATGGCATTCCTTTCACAATGGCATTTATTTAAAATACCACAACAAAATGTGCCCAGTTAGAGAAGAAAAAGATTCTCACTTCTCTTTACCACAAATCAAGTCCTCACAAGAACTTTCTGATAAGGAATGACATGTTTCAAATGCATTCTTCCCAGCCAGAAGTCAGGATGGAAATTCTAAATGCATTTAGGCACTGCTTCAGGACAACAAGTATTGGGGGTTTTGTTGGTTTTGGTGTAGTTTTTTTTTTTGTTTGCTTGGGGGTTTTTGGGTGAGTTTTTTGGTTGGTTTGTTAGTTGGTTTTTGGTTTGGTTTGGATTTTTTTTGTCAATTTGAGGATAGAAACTTTTTGGACTTGTTCAATATTTCTTGTATAATTAAGCATTTTTGAGGCAAGTACAGCCCCCAGCCAACCTCCCCCACTGCTCTATGCACTGTAAAGAGCCCACATGTGGAGCAGGACTTGCCCACTGTCACTTTAACCAAGATATTCACCCTATTTGTACCAGTGGACTCTCAGAGTCAGCATTAAATAAAGTACTTGAGAGATTATTGTGGAGAAGAGACTTTTGCAATGTCAAAAGCAGACAAATCTGTCTTTCAAACTCAGCTGCTGTGGGACTTAATCTTTACCCATTTTACATTCTCCTTATGCATTGTCTTTTACAGCTTCTCAGCAGATAGAAAACTTTGATGGTTTGATAGAAATACACACACACACACACACATATATATATACGTAAAATCAGGCTGAGGCCAAAGGTGGGTGAGCTTTGAGTGATGAGAAGACTTTGGTTCCAGTAGAGAAATCCCAAAATTGTCTTGAATGGATCTATTTCAGAATTAAAGTACCTAAGACATTGGGGTTACCGATAGACTTCGTTTGAACTTCAGTGTGGGGTCTGAATCTGTGCTGGAAGTATTTTTGATAACAGAACTCGTCTTCCCTCCTACATCTTCTTAAATGAAAAACATTGTAAGTATTGTTTTATAAAAACCATTGTTATCAAGGAATCTCACTCTAAAACCATAGTTGACATTCAATGCTTAGCCTTTACATGCTGCCAAACCAAGACAGGAATGTAGTCCATTAGCTTTCTCAATCACTAGTATAATAAGGACCAAGGTATAATTAGCTGACATTCCAAATCAATAGCTGGACTATGAGCAATTTATGCTCTACTAATTCAAGAAAAAAATAACTAAAATGTACTCAGATTTATGCTCTGAATGAACCAAACCGCTGAAGAGCATTGGAGTGTGAGTTGTTCATAGACCAACACCAGACAGGCAAATTTTAACCAAAATAAATGAGAGGCATTCATTCATGCAAAGCAGGATTTAGAATGGAAACAAGAACAAGGCCTCAGAAGATGGGCACTGTAACTAGTGGAGCTCAATATGGCACTGATGGGATCAAATTCTACCAGGGCACTCTTCAGCATTAGCCAAAATTAAAACCTCCACAGGATGGTCAGAGGACTGTGCATTGCATTTTAATTCCAATGCAGGAATTGTTGCTGACTGGTACAAAGTCTTTGTTCCTGTGGATTGCCAGGGTGAAGGAGAAAGAAGCTGGCAATGATTCTGTTTCCCCATTTTATCCAAAAGACCCATCAGGGTCTCTCAGACCCAAAGCTGCCATTTTACAGGAGCAGATGTAAAAACCCTACACCAGCTTACCTGGAATCCACACAACCCACTGCACCTGCCTTCACCTTCCCTTACTCATTCCTCTTTCTTGCTTGTAGATATTTTTGTTTCTTTCTTCACTGGCTCTCAGAATAGTCAAGATTGCATGCCAGCCTCAAATATTTACTTTCAGAATAACCTTGAGGAGAAGGGAAAAAAAAAAACCTCCAGACATTTTGTGGACAAAGAGATTTTTAAAACTTTTCACAATAGTTTGCATTGAGCTTACTGAATCCACTCTCTCTCACGTGATTGACTCATTATTCCCCATCAGTTTCATCAGTGAAAATGATTTCCAATATTTTTCAAGAAAAAACCACAATGTCAGTAGGGCACAGTCAAACACACAATCTCTGTGAGTAGCTCAATAGACTGAATTACTCTTGCACAATTCTCTTTGCCCTGCAAAGAGACATTTTGCAGCATCAATTAGGTTCAGCAAGCATTTCATTTAAAGTCAAGAGCTGGGAGAATAATGAATTTCTTTGAAGTCTGATGACAGCCTAGGCAATAGCACAAGTAGAAAGAGAAACAATCTGGAAAACTCATTTACATAAGAAATTGTACCAGCTGACCTTTTATTAGATTTGATCTTGTGAAAGATATCACTAGATGAATTTGTCATTCTCACAAGCAATTTCTCATTTAATAAGGGCTATTTGCTGCAAATTATGACACTGGGCTCAGTAACTCCCTAGTAAGGGTCAGTGAGAACAGAAATGATGAATGTAATGGACAAGTGCAGAGTGCTCAGGTCCAGTGAATTTCACACCTCATCTATATTTAGTGTTAATTTGCAAAAGGAAATGTCTGCTTGCTACCAGGAAATATCAGAACACCAACAGACTTGCCAAAATCTCTCTGAGTACCTTCAGTAGTTTTTGGATTTTCATTTTGCACAGAGCTACCCAAAACATGAGGAAATTGAAGATGCATACATGTATAGTCACATATCTCTGGTTCTTACAGGTGCCACAGGACCCTCAAACAATGATTTTTAGGGGCATTGATGTACAGCTTTCCAAGAAAGTTTAAGTAAGAAATATGCCAGAGATGGTAGCAAATATCAATGTGGAAAGTTTATATTGTTACTCTTCAGCATTTGGAAGGAATAGCACAGAGATACAGGAAAAAACCAAAGGTGGGTAAAGTGAGCAGCAAATTTAGGGGCAATCTGAAGAAAGAAGTCA